TATGATTTATTAAAACTTGCCTTAGAATTCAGAAACCAAAGTTAGTCGGGCATTGGTGGCGCACACCTTTAATCCCAGCACTCGGGAGGCAGAGGCAGGCGGATCTCTGTGAGTTCGAGGCCAGCCTGGTCTCCAGAGCGAGTGCCAGGATAGGCTCAAAGCTACACAGATAAACAGAGAAAACCTGTCTTGAAAAACCAAAAGAAAGAAAGAAAGAAAGAAAGAAAGAAAGAAAGAAAGAAAGAAAGAAAGAAACCAAATTCAGACACAGGCAATAGATGCCAAGCACACATCTTTAATCCCAGCCGTCAGAAGCTAGGAGGTGGTGGCATACAACTTTAATTTTAGGACTCGGGATTAAGAGGTAGACAGATCTCTCTGGGTCCAAGGCTACTCTGAATTACACAAGAGTGAATCAGCCTAAAAGAGAATTATAGCTCTTTAATGCCAACATTAGGGAGTACATATAGGAGAGAAGCAAGGTCTCAGAGAGGCATTCATTCTCCAGCCATGCTGAGAAAAGGCAGCAGTTTGAGACTTGATAAAGAACTCATGCATGGATCAGCCGTTTCACTCTGAGGTAGAGGTGGGAGGTAGTGGTTGGATGCTTTGCTTTTCTGATATTCAGCTCGAAGTGCAGTGTCAGTCTCTGGGTCTTTTATTATTCACATTTCACAGTTGGTTCTAGATAACCTATCAGTCAAGGGACTCATCACAGGAAAGATGTTTTAATGTCACTCTGATACAGTGAATGATCTTCACCACTCAATTTTTTATTGCATTATGAACTGAAAATTTGTGCTTTCCTGTTAAATTTATGTACTAATTTTAAAACACAGTAAGGTATCATTGCATTTGGAATTAACTTCTTTATTGAATTCAAAGGTTTAGATGAGGGGATGAGAATTCTGCTCTTTATGGTAAGATTAGTGCCCTAACAAAAAGAGGAGTGAGCTTCCTCTGTCTATCCACAGGCACACATCTAGAAGATGCATGTTTACACAGAGTCACTACAAGAGGGAACTGTTTGAAAGTCTGCCAGGGACTCTCACCAGACACTGATTTTGCAGTCACCTTGACTTCAGACCTACCAGACTGTGAAATGTGTCTGTTGTTTGAATTGCATAATCTATATGTGGCTTCACACCAGCCAGGACTAAGAAAATTTGCTGTCTGATTTAATTTTTTTAATAGCAGGGACATAATGCCTACCCTGTATATATGTGAATTTAAATGTGGTGCATGCTTCAAATGGCATTGGGAGAATATAAAGAAAAACTACACGTATAAATATTCTAGGAAGATTATCGACTATATCTTTAAATCTATGTCTTCAAAGCCACAAATATTAGTTTCATGTAAGTTTAATACCTAATTATTTGAAGTTAACATTAAATTATTTAAATACAAAGTATGATGAAATTTTATGAGCTTAGAATATAGACTAGTTCCCTAGATAATATATAAAGTTCTAAATCTTGAGGAGATGAGTTGATACATTGGCTTAAATTAAAATTAAGAACAGGGCATGTTGAAACATAAACAACCAATAAAGCTAGTCAAGTCAGTGACTGGAAGTCAATATTTATAACACATGTAAGCAAGTTAGGATTAGTATTTCAAATTTATAAAGAAGTTTTACAACACAAGATAACAACCAAAAGATTCAAGCAGGGAATTGCTAGAAAACACTGAGCTGGATGATCCAAACAATAAGTTTACAAGATCCTCCTATTTCCTAGAAATGAGTAGAATGTACATTAATATATCAAGGAAATTATTTGCTCACCTATTAGAATGGTTAAATAACTTCATAAAATAACAAATGTTAGTAAAGATATCTGACAAGTGGCTAACACCGATTTTCAGATCAATTCTGTGGAATGTAGTTTGTAAAAGCCCGCATATTTCCAACCCAGTTTTCTTCATGATCTATGACTCAGAAACCATGATAGTGTGTAAGCAGGAAATGAACAAACTCAATTATAACATTTATTATAATTTGAAAAGAAAAGCATAGGGTGGGTGCTTATAAAATAACTTCTTGTTCATATCTTCTCATTTGATTCTATTTGGTTTACATAGCCTGAACACTTATTCATGTCCACGTGTCTTACACTATTACAAACTCTATAAAATGTGACCAAGAATACTCTACCCTTTATTAGAAAAAAATCAGTCTGTGTCAACCCAATATATTAAAACAAAAACCCATAAGAGGAATATAGGGAAATGATATAAGGCGTCTCTCCCCTGTAAGATGATGTCTTAGATACCTGGAAAAGATGAAAGGAAGTTAAACAAGGGGCTTTTGGAGAGGAGGATCATGACTGGATTAACAACATTCTCAATTAATGTGACCAGGCAATAGAGCTAGAGTAAATTGTGAGAACTCAGGATATCAACTTGGATAAATCACAAATTAAATGCTAAGAAAGCAGAAAGCAAATATTTCAGCATAAGAAATTACAGCTCTCGTTAGATATTTATTCTCTGATGGACAAATTGTAAATACTGTATGCACACATTATGAAGAATTAGGAGAAATGATGCTGTTTAGTAGGGGGAAAATGCTTTATTAACGTATATAAGAACACATAAGAAAGGCTACACAGATGGCTCAGTGGTTGAGTCTTTGATGCTCTTCCAGAGGACCTGGTTAAGCGAACTGGCTGCTTCTCAAAGGCACCTGAGATCCGTTTTGAGCACCTACATGGAAGCTCACAGTGATCTATAACTTGAACTATGGGATATGATGCCCTCTTCTGGCCCCTGTGAGTATTCCCTGCAGGTTGTACACATATACGTTGGTAAGCACACATACACATAAAATAAACCTTAAAAATTGTTTCAATATATAAATAAATAAATAATGACATAAGAAATTGCCAGTTACATTTCTACATTAACTTAGCAGCTAACAGGAGCAACATCAAGATGAATGACTCTGTTCTTTAAAGTTCTAGTTATAATGATGGATCCGTCAAAAAGTTTCATCTGAAATTCATACCAGTCCATTATAGAGTAACTTCACATTGCTAGGTGCACTGTATTGAAGAACTCTGCATTAAATATAAGCTTAAAATTAATTAAAGGGCCTGATGTTGTCTACAAAAATTCCAAGTAAGGTTAGAGGACTCAGTTCACTTATGAATTCATTGCATGGTCAATGTTTTAGTGTTTACTGTGCAGAAGAAAAGCCATAAAATAGAAGCATTAATATGCTTAGAGCTTCAGGTTCAACAAAAATATTCCTTAAACAAACTTTATCAAGCTAGGTGTTGATTTAAAAATAAGTCAACGACACTGATGGTGTCCTCATTTTTTATGGTTTTTAGGACAATTAAAGTTGTTGCACATGAATTTTCAAGATCACATGCAGATAAAAGAAGTCAAAGGAGAAATATGTGCCCATAGCTTCATGGGTAACACATTTTTCTGTGACTTCATATTCTGTGGTTAGATTTTAGTGCCTATTTTAGTACTTAGAATAATTCTTGCCTTTATTATCAAATAGTCTATCATTCAAGCAACAGTATATTGAGTGTCTTCACTATGCCAATGATACTTATAAGTGATAAGGAACAGGAGATAATATAAAATAAAATTATATGCACACATAGAATGCATATTTATAGAATGTGTATTTTCTAGAGGAGAGTGACATCCTCTTTCCCATAATAAAATATCTGTCTATGAAAACAACTTACCAGGAAATAAAAGGTCATCTTTGTGGATTTGTATGTAAGAGGAATCCATAGAATGTGCTCACTTTGATAACTTTAATGTGTCATGAATTAGAGACATAATAAAGAGGGGGGTGCTTTAGTTCTAATTGTACAGCTGTTAGTTATCTCCCAAATAAGTGTGCTCAACAGGAAGAAATTCATGCCTGAGTCTGTAAACTTGGCCAAATTCCCATGTATAGAGAGGCTACAGATAATAGAAAAAAAACACAACTGCCATTTTCCTAAACCGATATAACTTTTGACTGTATTCTATGTACCTTTCCTTATCTCCACAAAGAAGTGTAGTTCTTATTTATCATCCCATTACTGGTCAAAGTGCAGACAGTGAATAACTAGGGTGCCCACTCTGATTTGGTAATTTATAGCACAAGCCCCTACACCTAAGGCTCAGGAAACATCTCAAAATTGGGGATGGGAGATTGTAAGAGCTGAAGAACCAGAATGTCTTCTAATATAGCATGTGTTTTAGATATTAAAGGAGCCTGCACCCATGAAATTTCAACATGATGGTCTCTCTTAATAAGACCTTCATAATGACAATACCAGCTGACATTCCCATGTAGATGTGGGAAATATCACAAAGCTCCATCCCTAGATGAACAGTCATATATAAAAATGGCTATTGAGATTGGGCAAACCAGTTTTCTCCAGGGAAGAATTCCCTGCTTGGTCATCGAATCCTATAGTCAGCCATAAACACATTTATGTAAGGGGATCACTAAGTGGACTTAGTAGTTGTTACATGTTTGTGTGTTAATAAATAATAACTAGAAAGGAAGATTCCATGGCCTTGAGAGGGAGCAAGGGATAATGGAAGAGGTGGAGAGGAGAGTTGCACTTGCAGAGATCCTAAGTTTAGTTCTCAGTACCCATGCAGGATAGCTTGCAACTGCTGATAACTCTAGTCCCAGAGGAAACAATTGTTGCTTCTGGCCTCCACAGGTGCCTGCACACAAATAATATATATTCACACAGACAGACTCACATACATAAAAGTACAAAAATCTACTATTAAAGAGTCTTACAAGTAGAAAATATAAATGGCCACTTCATAGGGTGTGAACTCAAAGATTTTAGGAACCTGCAGGGATATGATACCCTCAATCATTTTAAGTGTAGATATAAAAATGAACTCTACTATGTCATTTTCATCTGTACTGACACTGCATACTTAGATATTTCTCTTCTCATGTCTAAGGAGCTAACTATTTGTCCTTGATTTTTTTCTCCAAAGAGTTAATATCTTTTTTTCAGGGGAGAGTGCAAACGCAGTCCCCCAATACCACAAATTATGCAGTTGAGTTTCCTGCATTTGGGGAAATTGCAAGGGTCGGCACATCCAGAGTGCAATGGATAAGCCTTGCCTTGAGAAAAAACACCTTCGTGATCATGGTACCCCCCCCCGCCACTGGGTAAGTATGAGAGTTAATATCTTCCTCATAATAACATCTGAATAAAATTTAAAGCACTTTTATTTTATGCTCTTTTCTTTTCTGGGGACTGACTTTAGTGTCAAATGGGTGTTGTAACCCTAAGCTACACCCTCAAAACCTTAAATGCACTCTTGTATTATGATTTTAAGCTAGTCATATATGGGTGTGTCTTCAAATGTACAGCTTCTACTGCAGCAGCTAATTTTATGTTGGGCCTTAAAATACAAGTGGGAGTTTGCCAGATAATGAAGTGTGAGGTGCATAATTCAAGCAGCTATTAGCAAACTAATGATTCATATTAATCACTCAGTGCCTTCCATGACTCCATGTCCTATAACAGCTTCATGTGTTTTATTCATCTATCCATTAATTTTGCCATTAATTTACACCATCAGGCTTCAAATATTCATAATTATCTCTGCTTGGGCCTTGTGCTCACAAAAAGAAGAATGAGCAAGACAGGTGCTGTGTTTACTTTTGTCTTTAATGCCAGCACCAATACATTCTATATAAGTAGTACATCCAAAGAATTATAAAGCTTTTGAATTGTATTAAACAGTAAAAAGGGCAATAGAAATATGTCCCAGTGGTTAAAAGTACTTAATATTCTTTCAAAGAACATCATTCTAGCATAACATCCACACAGTATTTCACAACCATCTCTAACTCAACACCCTATTCTGACCTCTGTGAGCAGAAGAAACACATACATAGAGAACATGCATATATGGAGGTGAACAAAACTCTCATATATATAAAATATAAATCTAAAATTACAGAATTAACAGTATTTGGATTTGAACAAAAGTACTTAGTCACATTTTAGAAGAGAAATGTGGCATTCCAATTATCCTGAATAATTATCTTAACAATATGTAGTTTTGTGTTACCTGTTCCTGTGATAGTGAGAACAATGTCACACCTGTGATTCCAGTCAGTGGTTTCTATTCACAGCTCAGTTAGCAAGAAATGCTGCCAAACTTACTTATACAAATAATACTGTTGACTAGAAAATATTCTTTTAATATCCATTACTGAGAAAATTATGGATTTCCTTTAAGATTATAGGCTTTTGTTTTCTAACATTATTTACAAAATGTGTTGGAAAGACTGGTATTTCAAACCAAATCATTATATTTCGACAGGTGGCCACAAATTTGATTTATAAGAGACACTTATTGAAATGTCTACTGCTTATGGAGACTTTTTCTGTTTTATGTAAAAAAATAATATTACCAAAAGATTTTATTATGACTTTTTTCAGACCCTTCCTCTATTCCATGTTAGAGATAATTTTATCTTTTTTATTCCTCTTTGGGAAATGTGTGTGTGTGTGTGTGTGTGTGTGTGTGTGTGTGTGTGTGTGTGTGTAATGCTTTTGAAGAGCACAAGAGGACATGAAATCCTGTAAAACAAAGGTATAGGTGGTTGTGAACCACCTGGTGTGGGTGCCAGGAACTAAAGCCAGGTCTTCTACAAGAATATCAAATGTTCTTAACCACTGAGTCTTCTGTGAGCATCACTTAGTCACTTTTTAATAGTAACAAGATTATTTAGAGTTTCTGTGATATACTGTATAGTGGAGAGCTTAATCAGAAAATAAATAAATAAAATCATTTTATTAAATGATTTATCTTTCTGTTTCTGTATTCCTAAAATAGCTCTATAAAATATATTTTTATTGAAGGTAGATTCTTTTCTCATGAATGCATCCTGATTATAGTTTCCCATTCCTCCATTCTTTCCAGTCTCCCCAGATCCATTCCCTTTCTGTCTGTCATTAGAAAAGAGCAGGCTTCTAAGATTTAACAACAAAATATGACAAAAATAAATATAATAAGATGAAGCAAAAACTTTCATATCAAAGTTGGACAAAGCAAAACACGGGAGGAAAGGAGACCCAGGAGTATTCCTAGAGTCAGAAACCTACTTGTTCTTATAATCAGGAGTCCCAGAAAAATGCTAAGCTAATATCTGTAATATGTATATGGAAGATCTGGTGCAGACATGTGTAGGCCCTTTGTTTATTGCTTCAATAGTGGAGAGTGTATATGCAGCTTACTTAGTTTATTCAGAGGGTCATGGTCTCTTGGGGTCCTCCATCCCCTCAGACTTTTATAATACTTTCAATGTTTTCCAAAACATTACAAAACTCCACTAAGGAGAGAAATCACTGGTCATAAACTCAAAAATAAGAATTTTCAAATATAACTTTTGCATGCTCTCTCATTTTCAGAGCTACCGTGAGTTTCAAGTAGGAAAAGCAAAATTGGCAATCCTAAGCAATAGTAGTATGTTTCATATTTTACTTTTACTTTTATCTATCTATATATCTGTATGCCTGCCTATTTGTTTATTTATTCATTTATTTGTTTATTGGTGGACATTCACATTCAGTATCACACCAACTGTGGGTTGAGAGTAGAAGTTTCAAATTTAGATAATCCCTTTCAAAAAATGTGCATCATAATGCCTAAACTCAATTCATCAGTCTTGTTGGAAAATTATTTTTCCAGTCACTCATTTTGTTGTTTTAATATTTTATTAAATTATTTATTGCTATTTTGGAATTCTAGTGTAATTAAATTATTTCCCCTTTCCTTTCATACCTTC